CAACACACCACATTGTGAGATTTGAGTTAATTCTACCCATATTTTTACAATGTTTTTATTTTCGGCATTGCCAAAAACGCACAACATATTTATTTATGAAATAGTTTTCTTATGTCTAATTAAACTAGTCAACAAATTTACATTTTTTATGGATTTGGATTTGATTTCATATATACCTTTTAGAAATTCCTGTCGAAAAATGAAAGGTAGAAAAAAAGAAATAATTAAAAAAATCATATACGTTCAATATATTTGAATTGATCATATTATCACTCGGCGTCAAGCTATATAGGCCTATAGCCTATGGGCCAACTTTATTTTCAAATATTTATGTTTGGTGTTGAAACTCGGGTTTATTATTTTAAAATAGTCTTAAACTTGTTAAAAAAATTAATGATGAGCTATTCTAAAAAAATCACAAAAAACTATATAGCATAATTATATTATTTTATGCATCAATCATTTTTTAAAATTAAAAAGCATCAAACTTACACAATTTTATATCGTACTTTTAAAATTGAGGTTGTTGAACGAAACTAATAATTATTAGAAATATTGTGTAATTTGACCGAATATATAAAAAGTACGATATTAACGAAGCGAATATATAATTTGGAGTTGTTACACAATATTTCTAATAATTTTATTAGAAAGCATCAAACTTTTAAAATTAGAAATATTCAGTCAAATTATTAGAATATTCGGTCAAATTATTCTAATAATTGAAAATATTAGTGAAAGAATATTATTTTTGACATGAGTTCAAAAATCAATATACTGAAGCTGATTATGAGGCCATAACTAGTTTGAAGCATATATGTAGTTAAAGTAGCATGAAAAATATTGATTAAACAAAAAAATTGTACAATTTGTTATATTTTCAGAAATTTTCCTTAACATTTCCACCGCCCGGTAGGGGCATTCTTATATATTCTGTCAAATTATTAGAAATATTGCTATATTATAATGATAACAAATGCCGTTTTATTCTATTTTTATCCTTTTCTTTCTTCTCATATTAGTAAAAAAGTATTGCAAAATAACCTATAGAAAAAAGTGATTAGGATATGGGAATATTAATAACATCTTTAACAAGACTATGTTAACATGTTTAGAAATTAATAATAAAAATAAAAAACAACTATTCGTAACGGTGGAAGTCCGTATAGTTGCAATTAAAAAAGAAACTCTATAAATATATAAATTTAAAAAGGAATTATATATAAATGGCTCATAATTTTCTCAACTATTCAAATCTCAAGAAGCTTTTAGCAATGAAGAAGACATATGGATCAATGTGGAGGCCCACTGGATAAGTGGGGCTAACAGTCTCCGATCGTTTGACAAATGACATAGCAATAGAGTTTGGGGTCGTGGGTCATTGGGCCTAATGGGTCTATAAAATGACCGCAGAAATTAT